GAGCTGAAGGGATGGGGTAGGAGCTAAAGGAACAGGGGTACGAGCTGAAGGGATAGCGGTAACCTCCAACGAAGGCTGAAAAGATGGGGGTTTGTTAGCTGGGTCCAGAGAGGAAGTGGAGGGTTCTCCTGGCTCAGATGGCATATCCAGAAACACTTGAGCAGGTGAACAACATGCAAGGACAGAGGGCTTAGGCTTAGAGCTTAGATAGTAAAAGGCTTGGATGTAAAGAAACTCCTTCCATTTGCCATTCACTGACAGTAGTTAGAAAGCTCCCATAGAAAATCAGGATCAAAGGTGCCCTTAGGTGGCCACTTTAGATTGTTATCTAAATTGTAATGAGGCAATTTTTTTTTTTGGAACAAAGATGGACAAGTGTGGGAATCTGTAAGTAGGGCAAGAAGGCCTAGGGGTTTAGGGCCTCTAAAAGGCATCCCAGGGGGGAGGTTGGATTAATGGGCTTGGATGGCTTGCCTTCCATAGCTGAATCCATGAAAACCTGTGAGAGCGGTGACACCACAAGGCCTATAGGACAATGTCTCCCCTCTTTAGGTGGGGTGGTAAATCAGTGGCCTGTGGGAAAGCATTCTCTGCCTGCAGGTGAGGTGCTAAAACCTGACTGGATCCGATTGGGGCAACTCAGAAGCCAGAAAGGACAGAGGCCACTCTGAGTGGCCTTTCATGGTGGGAGAAAAAAAGAAAAGAAAAAGAAAAAAATAGAAAAAAAAATCTGAGGGACCCTGGGCCCTCAGTCATAGGAGGGCTGACTCCAGCTTGTCCAAACATAATTTTAGCTAAGGGAAGCAATCCAGAGATGAATGTCAGCGAAGGGCTCAACCATGGTTGTAAAGACCATGGATCGGGGTTGTTCCCTCCATTCTAGGAACAACAGAAGATTTCTGTGAGTTCAATGGTCAATTCTTTGGGTTCAGAGAAATGGTTAAGCTGACCAGAATGGGGGAAACTCACCATTGAAGCCGGTGGTATGCATAGAAATCGTGCTCAGGCAGATGGAACACATGATTGTTGTGGAAAAAATACCCAGTTTTAGATCCCAACCCTGGGAGAGGAGCTCGGGACTGGAGAACCTCCTGAGTCTCACGGCACCAGTGAAATTACCTGGTGCAAGTGAGAAGGAAATAAGGAACATGCAACAAACCCACTAGGGAGTTTATTAGAGGGGATGTGTACAGGCCTGGGGAAGTCAGTGTGCAAAGAGAGAGAGAGAGAGAGAGAGAGAGAGAGAGAGAGAGAGAGAGAGAGAGAGGAAGATGGTTTGTCCAGCTTTTAAAAGCTGCCTAGACCATGGGCACAGGGGGTTGATGTGACTATGTCATACGCAGATGATGGGGCTCATGCATACATGCAAGGGCTTAGTTGAGTCATATGTGGATGATGCAACCACACATGTGTGCAAGCGCTTAGCTGAGTTATACGTGAATGATGTAATCCACTCTGCACGTGGGTCACAAGGGGCCCTTTAACATCCCTGGGGGCCTTCGGCACTTCTGTCTGAGGGCTTGTCTGCACATGCATGGCGCCTAGAACCTGGAAGTATCAGCCTTATGTGGCTGAAATCATTATATCAAGAGTGAACTAACTAGAGGGTTACAAAT